GTTGTAATGTGACAAAATATGGAAAAGTTCAAGGGGTATGAATACTTTTGCAAACCACTGTATGTGACATTATCAAACCACCAAAATTAAGCAATGATTAAACTCATAAAATAAGGAAGTTGACCCAAGCTCTCACTACCAAGTATTTTTAATGATGAAAACAACCACCACCTCAACTTTGTTCTAACATTCAGTCAGTATTTAATACAGCTGGCAAAATAAATTGTTAAAATATGTATTATGTGCTTCTGTTTTTTAATTCAGGAGATTATAAAAAATCCTTCATTTTATGGGAAGACCCTCTTGATTCAAGAGAAAACTCCAGTTTTTAAAAAATGGCTGCTTATCAATTAATCGTTAATCAATCTATAAGATAAATCAACTTCAGATTAATTCATTATCAATAACTTGCATCCTTAAGGAGTTAACTTAAATTATATCTACTCATATTCATGTAATTAAGCGTTTTAATGATTTKGCCGATTAATCGAAAAACTAATCAACAGATTAATCAATTAATAAAATAATCTTTAGTTGCAGCCCTAAAGTTCATTACCCTTAGGTCACTTCCCCCGGGCTATGAGAGGGACCCCCATGACCTCCATGCTCTCTGTACCAACAAGGGCTCTAACCTGCTCCGTAAGGGACCAATTGTGGGATGACTTTGTCCTCTGGAGCTAGGCTTGGGTGGTATGATGATATTTTGTGATACGGCAGTATTAAAATATGGTGACAGTATTTAAAAACGATGATGGTATTAGTCACAAGATGTGATGCGCCAAACTCTGGGTGGGACTGGGTGGTCTCCAAGGCTGTCCTTCAGCAACACACCGGCTCACTACTTCAGGAGTCTGAACCTCACGGATGGATTCAGCCAACCACAAATTGCTTAGAAAAAATCCACACCCACACCACGTGACTTTGTGGGTGATTCCAACACAACCAGCTGCAGATCAATACCATCAGTTGTCTACCATCAGATGGCCCTGGTGGTATTGGGAACAAGATTGCACATTTATTGCACAACATAGGCTGGTTTATGGTTTTAATAAACAAATTTAATCTGTTGCACCTTTTATTTTTKTATGTCGTTTTGTATAAATGGTTTAAAAAAAGCAGTAGATCTTCTGAATTCCTCTTTAGGGTCAATAATATATGTATCTAACTACAGTATCTGTAATAAGGTGAGAACTGTCTTATACTGTACTTACTCTTTCTTCCTCGCAGACTTCCTCTTCTCTTCATTGACCTCATGGTTTACATCCCGCAGTTTAACCTCAGGGTCGTCTGTCAGGCTCGCAGGAATGATGTCCAGTTCTAAGTCTTTATTGTCCTACAGAGTGGAGCAAAACTTTGGTCTGAAATCTACGCAGAACGTCAACAAATTTCACCCCCGTTTAGTCAGAATCCATCAGTGAAGTCTGTAAAACAGACAGTTTTCTTAAGGGGAGACTGGATGTTAGAACGTTTACCTCAGAGCTGACCCCCAGGCTCTTCTCAAGGCTCTCCTGATATTTGGCCATGCGAAGCGAAAAGTCTCGATATCTGCGGTCCACTGTGCTGACCCAGCGCTTCAGCTCCGATATGTGGGTATGGCCCTTTTCTACCAGGTTGTCTGCAAGCTGGATCAGCAGCTTCACCTTCTCCTTCGTTTGCTAAGTGTCACACAGACACAGATTACATTTGTTCTGGAGCCACACATGATTCAACAGTACAAACAAACCAGTGCTTCACTTAATGCTTTTCCCCCTACGTGTCCAGCAGGAGCCATGCATTAAATAGGTTTTAGTCTTAGCTTCATGCATTTGAAAAAAAATCTATTAACTTAAAAAGTTTTTGAAAAAGGAGATTATTTTTTATTTATTTACCTAATGAGGGGGAACCATAAGTTAAGTTAACTTGAAAGGAGAAATTATGGTTTTTCAGCTTCAGAACAGCTGATTATACTGAAGTAAAGCTGCGTATCTTAATCTTACAGAGTTCAGAGCATGCATACACATAATACATACAGCGGGTAAAATAAGTATTGAACACGTCACCATTTTTCTCAGTAAATATATTACTAGAGGTGCTAATGACATGAAATTTTCACCAG